TGGAAACTCAATCCAGGTCTCCCTCATGGGTGGCAGGGACCCAAGTACTTGAGCCATCATGTGCTGCCTCCCAGAGTACACATGAGCTGGCCATTATAACTTAGAGCCAGGCACTCCAATATGGGATACTGGTATCCCAAGCAGTTAACCCTTGGGCCACTCTGCCCTGAGGGTGGAGTTTCAAATGTCCTCAGCTAATACCACAGTGAAATGGAATTCTATAACCCCTGAACCTGTGCAACAGTATTGACAGCGCCCAGTCTTACAATCGCCACTCTAACAGCTGTGGTAGGAATAAACCAAAAAGATGACTGTTAGCTTTCCAGTCCAGGCTACCAATACAGTGCCCACCAAAAGAGCAGGAGAAGCTCACCATCTTGAGTAGCTAGTCCCCAGGGAGAGATGTGATAAAGCTGCCTCTCAGTGCATCCCGCAGCCACCAGATTCTGAGAGCAGAGCAGCATAACAATTTTACTTATTATTACTCCATTCCTAAGTGATTGTGAAAAACTCAAATTAATATGTCTTTCCAAAGCATTCCCATGAGAAGAATCAGCCGTCACATTCCACTGACTTGTGACAGGTTCCCAAGAAACGCACCGTACCAGGCCTAGAGCTCAGTTCCTCCCAGATGATGAACTCTGCCACAAAAAAACATGAAGTAAAGTTCAAAACACCATAGAATTGAAATCATGCCCTGAAAACATTCCCTGGTGTCTTAGCAGGAGAAATATATGCAAAACATTGCACTGGTTTGTTATATAACTCAGAACGCCCAGGAAAACATGTGTCTTGGGAGCCAGGCACTGTGATAGTTCCTATAAGGCTGACTGAGGCAGCAGAGTTAATGGACTTTGCCAACCTCTGTCAAAGTGTCTTCCTCCAGTGGCTGGAGAAATACAAGGCCCCAGATGTTTTATATGCATATGAAGAAGACAGGCCAGTGCTGTAGCTTAATGGGTCAAGCCGCTGTCTGCAGCACCAGCATCCCATATGAGCACCAGTTCAAGTCCCAGCTGTTCCATTACTTTCTTTTTTTTTTTTTAAAGATTTATTTATTTGAAAGAGTTACACAGATACAGAGAGAGAGAAGGAGAGGCAGAGAGAGAGAGAGAGGTCTTCCATCCTCTGATTCACTCCCCAGATGGCTGCAACGGCCGGAACTGCGCTGATCCAAAGCCAGGATCCAGGAACTTCTTCCAGGTCTCCCACACCAGTGCAGGAGCACAAGAACTTGGGCCATCTGCTGCTGCTTTCCAAGGCTACAGCAGAGAGCTGGATCAGAAGTAGAACAACCACGACTTGAACTCTGGTGCCCATATGAGATGCCTGCACTGCAGGCGGCAGCCTTACCTGCTACGCCACAGTGCCAGCCCATGCTCCACTTCTGATCCAGCTTCCTGCTCACGTGCCTGGGACAGCATAGGAGGATGGTCCAAGTGTGTGGGCCCCCTACCGCTCACATGGGAAGCCCAGATGAGGCTCCTGGCTCCCAGCTTCAGCCTGGCCCACCCCGGCTGTTGTAGCCACCTAGGGAGTGGTGGAAAACCTCTCTCTGTATGGCTCTGACTTTCAAATAAATGGATAAATCTTTTAAAAAAAGATAAAAAGGGGCCAGCGCTGTGGTGCAGCAGGTTAACGCCCTCGCCTCCACTTCCGATCCAGCTCTCTGCTATGGCCTGGGAAAGTAGTGCAAGATGGCCCACGTCTTGGGCCCCTGCACCTGCGTGGGAGACCCGGAAGAAGCTCCTGGCTCCTGGCTTCGGATCAGTGCAGCTCCAGCCATTGCAGCTAATTGGGGAGTGAACCAGCAGATGGAATACCCCTCTCTCTGCCGCTCCTCTCTCTGTGTAACTCTATCTTTCAAATAAATAAATAAATCTTTAAAAAAGAAAAAGAAGAAGAATGTTCTTAAATCCTCAGTTTGGGAGCATGTGGTGCACTGGTTCAGATACCACTTGAGACTCCTGCATCCCCCATCAGAGTGTCTTGGTTCAGGTCCCAGTTCCACTTCCAGTTCCAGCTTCCTCCTAGTACACATCCTGGGAATAGGTAAGTGATCGCTCAAATAGTTGGGTCCCTGCCACCCACATAGGCACTCTGATAAGGGATGCAGGCATCCCAGGCCACAGCTTAAATGGCTATGCAATACTTGTTCCTCCCCTCCAACATTTAAAGTATTTATTACTTATTTAGGCTGACACCACAGCTCACTTGGCTAATCCTCCGCCTGCAGTGCCTGCACTCCGGGTTCTAGTCCCAGTCGGGGCGCCGGATTCTTTCCGGGTTGCTCCTTTTCCAGTCCAGCTCTCTGCTGTGGCCAGGGAGTGCAGTGGAGGATGGCCCAAGTCCTTGGGCCCTGCACCCATGTGGGAAACCAGGAGAGGCACCTGGCTCCTGGCTTCGGATCAGTGCGGTGCGCTGGCCACGGTGGCCATTGTGGGGTGAACCAACAGAAAAAGGAAGACCTTTCTCTCTCTCTCTCACTGTCCACTCTGCCTGTCCAAAAATAAATAAATAAATATTTATTACTTATTTGAAAAGCAGAGTGAAGGGGAGAGGTTGGGTGAGGGAGGAGTTTTCCATCTGCTGGCTCACTCCTCAGATGGCTACAACAGCTGCAGGCCAAAGCCAGGCACCCGGAACTCCATCCATATCTCCCCCATGGGTACAGGGGCCCAAGCATTTGAGCCATCATTTGCTGCTTCCCTGGTGTGTTAGCAGGGAGTTGGATCAGAAGTGGAATAACTAGGACTCAAACTGTGCTCCATTATGGGATGTGGGCATAGCTGAAGTAGCGACTTAATCCTACCACACCACAGTACCCACCCCTTGACTAATATTCTTGATCTGTTTGACCTAATTAACATTTAGAGAACACTCCATCCAGTAAGAAAACACACTCTTTTCAAGTGCACATGGAATATTTCCTAATATAAATTATATCTTTTTTTTTTTTTGACAGGCAGAGTGGATAGTGAGAGAGAGAGACAGAGAGAAAGGTCTTCCTTTGCCGTTGGTTCACCCTCCAATGGCCGCCACGGCCGGCGCACTGCAGCCGGCACACCGCACTGATCCGAAGCCAGGAGCCAGGTGCTTCTCCTGGTCTCCCATGGGGTGCAGGGCCCTGGCACCTGGACCATCCTCCACTGCCTTCCCGGGCCACAGCAGAGAGCTGGCCTGGAAGAGGGGCAACCAGGAAAGAATCCGGCACCCCAACCGGGACTAGAACCCGGTATGCCAGTGCTGCAAGGCGGAGGATTAGCCTAGTGAGCTGCGGCACTGGCCAATATCTTAGGATATAAAATAAGTCTCAATGTAAAAGATTCACGGCATATAAAGTATGATCTCTGATCTGTTAATTAGCTCAGGTTGCCATAACAAAATACCATAGACTGGGTAGCTTAAACAAGAAGTTCGTTTTCTCAGGAGTCCTGGAAGTCCAAGATCAAGGTGTCAGTGTGGGTGAATTCTGTTTTCAAAGCAGCTGCGCCCATTTACAGTCCCACAAGCAATGTATGAAGGCTCTGGTTTTTCCATCCTTGCCAACAGTTGCTTATTATCTACCTTCTTAATTGTAACGTGAAGTGGTATCTTATTGTGATTGTGATTTGTATTTCCCTAATGGGTAATGACATTGAATATCTTTCCATGTGCTCATTTGTGTATCATTGTAGAAATGTCTGTTCGTATTCTTTTGTTTTTAAATCAGGTTTTCTTTTTTATTATTGAATGGTTAAAGATTTTTTATATATTCTAGATAAAAGTCTCATATCAAATTTATGGTTTACAAATATTTCATCTGTTGGGCTGCCTTTTCACATTTTTATTGTTGTTGTTATTATTATTATTTACTTGAGAGAGAGAGACATCTTCCACCTGCTGGTTCACTCCCCAGATGCCCCAACAGCCAGGGCTGGGACAGTCCAAAGCCAAGAGCCCAGAACTAAGTCAAGGGCTCCCAAGTGGGTGGCAGGGACCAAAGTACCTTAGTCATCACCTGCTGCCTTCCAGGGTGTGTATTAGCAGAAAGCTAGATCATAAGTGGAATAGTTGGGACACAAACTAGGTGCTCCGATATGGGTACACCAGCTGCCACCCGCTCCCCACCCTTGAAAATCCATGTGTGTAAAATCCACTGGCGTTTCGCTTACTATTTATTGTCCCTTTGGTACCTGGGGTAATTCCAGATATAGAAAGAACTCAAACATTTGTTGTTGCTGAAGCGGAGCTGACGTGGTGGAGAGGAACAAGCACTCTGATACTGCTATCACAGAGTGTATTGGTACAGCCTTTCTGTAAATAGTTGTGTGGTGTGTAAAAGTCTCAAAATGTGCTTACCCTTTGACCCACGTTTCTCCTTCTAGGTTTTTACCATGAGGAAATCATTAAAAGGGCCAGCGTTGTGGCATAGCAGGTAAAGCCACTGCCTATGACACTGGCATCCCATGTGGGCGCTGGTTCTAATCCTGCCTGTTCCACTTCTGATTCAGCTCCCTGCTAATGCACCTGGGAGAGCACCAGAGGATGGCCCGAGAGTTTGGGCCCCTACACCCACGTGGGAGATTGGATGAAGCTCCTGGCTCCTGGCTTTAGCCTGGCCCAGCCCCGGTAGATGTGGCCATGTGAGGAATGAACCAGCAGATAGAAGACATCTCTTTGTGTGTGTGTGTGTGTGTGTGTGTGTGTGTGTGTGTGTGTCTAAATCTGCCTGTCAGATAAATTAGTTAAATAATGTAAAGTTCCTTAAATGAACAAAACTTCCGAATCTTGAAGTAATTAAGGATTCATGGGGATGCTCTCACCTGCACTCTTGTGATGGCAGAAGGGACGGAGATTGTTTGCTGGTGTGACGGCGAGAGGCTTTCCTGAGTTATTCAGGAAGAGACCTTCCTTCCCAATGTCTTAGCGCTTTAAAATACTGGCTCATGACTCGGCTGTCTGACCTGCTGCTTTCTGAAGCAAAAATAAGACTTACCTGTAATTTTTTTCTCCCACAGGTCTCTTAATATGGACTTTGAAAATCAAGATAAAGAGAAAGACAGTAACAGTTCTTCTGGGTCTTTTAATGGCAACAGCACCAACAATAGTAAGACATTTTGTGCCAGTTAACTTTCATACCTACAGTTGTCTTCATTGGTTCCTTCTATACCCTTAGTTAATTCACTAGGTTCAAGGACTATGTTTAGTGTAGTAATAAAGCCTATTTGTTACATTTTTATGTTGAGTCTGAACTACTGAGTTCTTGTGTCCTCAAAGCTTACTGCTGAGATTATTCCATAAAGAGCAGCAAGATTCATGTTTGCCAGTCTGGGGCTTCAGTTAGGTACTTGGGTGAGGTTGATAATTTTGAGAGTGTTCATAATAAATTCATCCTGTGACCTAAAAGAGCTACCTGAAGTACGTATAGAACTAAGCAGTATAAGTCTCTCCAGATGTTAAGCTGTTAAAAGAATTCTTTAAAAAAAAAAAAAAAGAAGTGGCTATATGGCAAAATGTTTAGCAGTGTCATTTGTTAAGAGTCAAGAAGTAGAAACACAAAGGTCCATAAATGAATGAATTTATAAAGAATACATGTGCATTCCTACAGGGGAGCGTTACATAACATTAAAAAGAATGAAGTACTGTCAGATGCCACCGTGTGGGCAAACCTGAAAACATGCTGAGTGAGAGAAGCTCAGTACTACACATTATTTGTTTGTTTGTTTAATGGTTTGTTTTATTTGAAAGAGCTACAGAGAGAGAGACAGAGAGAAAGGTCTTCCATCTGCTTGTTCACTCCCCACATGGCCACATCGGCTGGGGCTCAGCAGGCCAGAGCCAGGAGCCAGGAGCTTCTTCCAGGTGTCTCACATGAGTGCAGGAGCCCAAGCACTTAGGCCATCTGCTGCTGCTTTCCCAGGCAGCAGAGCTAGGAAGCAGGGAGCTGGATCAGAAGTGGAACAGCTGGGATTTGAACAGGCACAACACCTGTCCCAAAACTACATATTGTATGAAAATTACAAAAAAGCAAACATATCTAGAGAAGAGGTAGTTAGTGGTTGTTGGGACTAGGGATGGGAAGAAGAATGATGTTGGGGTGATGACAGTTACCTAGAACTCTATGGTATAGTGATAGCTTCACACGTGGTAAATTTCCCTGCGTCCTCCCCCAAAAAAATGAGAGTTGTAGAAAATTTGTAGTGCTTGTTATAGAAATAGTTGAATTTGAAATATTATTGAATCAAATATTGCTAGCCTGTTAGATATTTTAAAAGTTACAAAAGTATGAGAACAATTCTTTCTGAGGTGTTAAAAGGTACTAAGAGAAACAACAGGCATCCCTTCACCTCCCATACCTGGCCAGGTACTTTTGTTTTTTCGCTGACCCTTACTATAGCATCAGAATCTTTCTGAACAAGCAGCTGCTACCAGTGGATCAGAGTAAGCTCTAAAGATGATGTCATTTCAACAACCATGCACAAAGAGAAAGGCAAGGCCGGTGAGCAGCAGTGAGTGGAATTGGACTTGAAATGTGAACTCAAATGGGTGGAGAGGAAGTCATCTCAGAAGGAGGGGGACCGTATTGTAACACACAGGGCCAAGTGAATGAGCCCTGTTAGGACAGGTTGAAGTCACCATCTAGTGAGAACAAAATACCAAGGCTCTAATCAAACCTTGGATGAAATGGTGATAGAGGGCCAGGGATATGAAGCTAAAAATGATCGTTTAATCATTTCATATTTTTTCTAGTTATTATAATACCCTGCCAGCCAGTTTTCACTCAGCTAAATATGTCTCACTGTCCCCAGCCATGCAAAGTGCACATGATAAAGACCATAAAAGAATCATTTAAATATAATAAGCCTTTTCTTGAACTTATGACATAGATCCTTGTGTGATATAAAATTTCATACCAATAACTTATTAGGAACCACTTAAAACTCAGTACTAAATATTATTTTCACATTAGACTATTATATAGCTCACTTTTTATAAAGATTTTCATCAAGTCACTTCCATTACTCTTGAAAATGTTTTTTAAAGTCCCTTGATATGTAGTATATATGCAAATCTACTTCTTAATACAAATTATACATCTATACATTGCATCACAAAACATCCGAGAAAGGTATATGTGTATCTAAGTACAATTTTTTTCTCAAATGATATAAGTGATTATATCAGCCCATCAGTTCTATTTCTTGTTATTAATCAGAGTTTAAAGAATAGTAGTCAGGCCACTGCTGTGGTGCAGTAGATTAATCCTCTGCTGGTTCTAGTCCTGGCTGTTCCTCTTCTGATCCAACTCCCTGCTATGGCCTGGGAAAGCAGTGGAAGATGGCCCAAGTGCTTGGTCCCCTGCATCCTCATGGGAGACCTGGAAGAAGCTCCTGGCTCCTGGTTTCAGATCCGCAAAGCTCCAGCCATTGCCATTTGGAGAATGAACTAGCGGATGGAAGACCTCTCTTTGTTCCTCCCACTCTCTGTCTGTAACTCTACCTCTCAAGTAAATAAATAAATATTTTAAAAAAAGTATATAGGGTGGGGCTGGCATTGTGGTGTGACCAATTAAGCCACTGCCTGCAATCCTAACGTCCCATTTGGGCACTGGTTTGTGTCCCAGCTGCTCCACTTCCAATCCAGCTCTCTACTAATGCACTTGGGAAAGCAGCAGAAAATGGCCCAAGTCCTTGGGTCTGTGCACCTGAGTGGGAGACCCAGATGAAGCTCCTGGTTCCTGGCTTCCATCTGGCCCAGCTATGGCCGTTGTGGCCATTTGGGGAGTAAACCAGTGGGTAGAAGACTGACACCTCTCTCTCTCTCTCTCTCTCTCTTTCTCTCTTTCTCTCTTTCTCTCTCCCTCTCTCCCTCTCTCCCTCTCTCCCTCTCTCCCTCTCTCCCTCTCCTCCCTCCCTCCTTCTCCTTCCCCCTCCCTCCCTCCCTCTCTTTCTCTCTCTCTCTCTCTCTGTCTTTCAGATAAATAGGGTAAATATTTTTTAAAAAAATTGTGTAGGTGTTGGTGTTTTAGCACAGTTAAGCTGCTGCCAGTAACACCAGCATCCTGTATGAGTGCTAGTTTGAGTCTTGGCTGCTCCACCTCTCTACTAATGCACCTGGAAAAGCAGCAGATGACGGTCCAAGTGTATGGACCCGTGCTACCCATGTGGGAGACCCAGATGGAGCTCTGGGCTCCTGACTTTGGCCTGGCCCAGATGTGGCCGTTGTGGCCATTTGGGGATTAGTAAACCAGCGAACGGAAGATCCCTTCTTCCCCCTTTCTCCCTCCTCCCTCCCTCTCTCTTTCTCTCTGACTCTCCCTCTCTCTATATAATGCTGCTTTCAAATAAGTAAAGCTTTTTTAAAAATGTAGTGTAATGCCTCTTTTTAATTTATGTGAGAGATAGCTTGCACCTGCTGGTTTACGTCCCAAATGTCTGCAGTGGCTGGGGCTGAAGCCAGCAGCTGCTGGTAATGCAGTCCAGATCTCCATTGTGGGTGTCAGGAACCCATTTCTTGAGACATCACTGCTGCTCTCCAGAGTTTGCAGTAGCAGGAACCTGGAACCAGATACTGAGCCCAGGTCCTCTGATGCGGGACACAGATAGCTTAAACCACTAGAAAAACTTCTTACATAGATGTTTTCTTAAATATGTTTTCCTATATTATACTTAGTTATATTCAACAACATATTTCTTTAGTGCCTACTCTGAGCCACAGATAACCAAAAGAGAGAAGGACAGATTGGAATAGAATGCAGTCTGGTTCCACATAATCAGGAAAAGTGTGAAGAAAGAAACAGCCATTGCTAAGAAGGCTGGCACTTGGTAATGGAACATAATATCATTCTAGATTGAAGGGGTGGCATGGAGAACAAGATACGTTTGTCAAGAATGAAGAAATAATAACAGCCAAAAAGATAAACAGAAACACAAGAGATTGTGTAAAGAGATTGAAATCTGGAGGATTAGAAATGTGAAGAATTGGGGAGAAGATTCTAAGAAAAGGAAGGTATGAATTTAGGCAGAGTAAAAGAGATGTTCTGTCCGCTGGTTCAGTCCCCAAATGGCCACAACAGCTAGGTCCAGGCTAGGCTGAAGCCAGGAGCCAGGAACTCCACCAGGGTCTTCCACGTGGATGGCAGGGGCCCAAATACTTACACTCTTGGACCCAGGTGCACTAGCAGGGAGTTAGATCAGAAGCAGAGAAGCTGGGACTCAACTCAGCACTCTGATACAGGGTGCCAGTGTCAGAAGCAACAGCTTAACCCTGCACAATGCCAGCCTCTGACAAGGGAGAATTGGACTGATTAAAGGGAAGAATGACTAGCGGTTTGTAAAAGATTGCAGTTCTCTACTCCCAAAGTAACAAGAAGCAAGGAATTTGTGAAGGACACTGGAGTAAGAAAAGACCAGTGTCATTGGTGGGGAGGTTGGGAGGGAAGAGTTACTTTCTGGTTACATGCAATTATTAAATTGTCCTCGATGATAAAGGGGTGCTAGAAGAAGCCATGTCACATGGAGACTTGGCAGATTAGGTGGGTCATGCGATTCTTACCAGAAAATCAAAACTTACAAAATGGAGGAAGTCTCTTTGAGACGGAATGTTCTCACTGTACAGTTCCCTGGGGTATTTGACTCCAGGTTATAGAAACACTGCACCTATCTGGATGACTTAAAACCACTTGGAAGTAGCGGGGCTGAGGGGTATGGGGCAGGTGGAGCAGGCCTTCCAGGAAGTATGACACCCATTGAAAAATAGGAAACAGATATTGAAACCCTGGTGAAACAGCACTACACATCTGCCAGAACAGCCAGAATGTCGCCGAGGATGCACAGCAAGAAGGAACCTCTGCACGCTACTGGAGAGCCACAGGGTGGCACGATTGCTCACCCATGGAACCTGTCAGTGTCTCTCCTAGTTACACACTCAACAGACAGGCACATATACACCACGTATCATGTGCAAGAATGCTCAGGGGCAGGCGCTATGCCACAGCAGGTTAAGCTGCTGCTTGGGACTTCAGCATCCCAGGTCAGGGTTTTGGTTCAAGTCTAAGCGGCTCTGTTTCCAATCCAGCATTTCTGCTAATGCATCCTGGGAGGCAGCGGATATTGGCTCAAGTGCTTAGACCACTGCAATACATAAGGGAAACCTGATGCAGTTCTGGGCTCCTAGCTTTGGCTTGGCCGGGTTGTGGCTGTTGCAGGGCTTTGGGAAGTGAATGAGCTGATGGACCCACCCACCCCACCCCGCAATCTCTGCCTTTTAAGTAAATGTAAATAAATAGACATTAACAACAACAAAAGAAGCTCAAAGTCAAAACCTTGGAAACAACCCAAGTGTTTAACCATAGCATGGGTAAATTGTACTTAGATTCATACCATGAAAGTGAACTGCAGCTTCACATATAGAATGGATGATTTTAACAAACAATGCTGAGTGAAAGAAGCCAGACACAAAATACATGCCACAGATGTCAGTGTGTATTGTTCAAAAAGCAGGAAAAGTAAACATTATTTTATTTTTGAAGGATGCGTGCTTCCATGGAAAAATGTAAAGTAAAACAAAGAAGACACCATGAGAGTCAGGATCATCATCACCTCTGGGGGAAAGAGAGTAGATTGGGACCTAGGAGACTGTGAGTGGGGCTGTTCCTTGACCCGAGTATGTGAGACAGGTGACAGCTCCCTGAGTTCTTCATCTTGGTACTTTTCTGTGTGATGGTTCATAGTGAAAACAGTGGGAAAGAAAGGTAATGGGTGCTGTAGGGAGCTCGTCCGGATCTTCGCTGATTTCCCCTGACTTGTTTCTGACTCCTGCATTGCCCAAGAATCCTATATAGAGCCTTCCCCTGGCACATCAGGTCTTTATTTCACTGAAACTAAGCACATCAAGGAAAAAAAGCCAGGGGCAAGCAGCATTGTGGCGTAGTGGATTGAGCCTCTGCCCGCATGTCAGCATCCCAAATGGACACCGTGGTTTAAGTCCCGGCTGCTCTACTTCTGATCTGACTTCCCTGCTAATGCACCTGGAAAAGCAGAGGAGAATGGTTCAACTACTTGAGCCCCTGCCACTTACATGGGAGACCAGGAAGAAGCTATTGGTTCCTGTCTTTGGTCTGATGCAGCCATGGCTGTTATGGCCATTTGGAGAATAAACCAGCAGGTGTAATATCTCTCTGTCTCTTCCTCACTATCTGTAACTCTGCCTTTCAAATAAATAAATAAATATTTAGAAAAAAAGAAAAAGCCACATAAATTGCCATTATATGACATCATGAAGTCAAACTTCACATAGAATTTCTTTGAACCATGAAAATATGCAGTTGGGATTGTCTTCATTCGTAGAGATACATGTATTAATCTTCTCCCAGACTTTGAACTTCACAAGATACAGAAATGACTTTTTTAACCCCTCCTGTTGCTTACTATAGAGCGTGGTTTTTTGTGTTTTTGCTTGTTTGTTTGTTTTTTGTTGTTGTTTTTGCATGGAGGTGCAAAATCAGTGTTTTTGTTTTTAAGATCTTATATATTTTGTTTGAAAGGCAGACTTTAGAGAAGGAGAAAAAGAGATCATCCATCCACTGGTTCACTCCCCAAATGGCTGCAACGGCCGGGGCTGGGCCAGGCCAAAGCCAGGAGCCAGGAGCTTCTTCCGGGTCTCCCATGTGGATACAGGCACCCAGGGACTTGGGCCATCTGCTGCTGCTCTCCCAGGCCATTAGTAGGTAGCTGGAGTGGACTTGAACTGGCCACCCATATGGGATGAGGGCACTGCAGACAGTGGCTTAACCTGCTGTGCCACAGCATTGGTCCCCCCAAATCAGTTTTCTTAACAGTATCAACAATACATTGGTGTAGTACCCAGTACCTATTCCATAACCAAATGTATGTTTAGCCTTTAGCTATGTTCATTGAAGAAGATAATGGTGCCATACAGAATTACTAATTCCATCACTGAGTCTATTTCTTATGTTAATTTTGGCTTTAAAAAAAAATGCAACTGCAGTTGGATAAGTCTTCCCAGTTATGACTGTTCTGTTTTGCTGAGGTTTTTTTTTGTTTTGTTTTTAAGATTTTATTTGAGAGGTAGAGTTACAGAGAGAGGAAGAGACAGAAAGGTCTTCCATCCATTGGTTCATTCCCCAAATGTCCACAATGGCCGGAGCTGGGCTGATCCAAAGCCAGGAGCTAAGAGTTTCTTCTGGGTCTCCCCTATGGGCACAAGGGCCCAAGCCTCTAGGGCCATCCTCTACTGCTTTCCCAGGCCATATCAGAGAGCTGGATCAGAAGAGGAGCAGCCAGGACTCGAACTGGCACCCATATGGGATGCTGACACCACAGGCAGAGGCTTAGCCCGCTGTGCCACAGTGCTCTCCCCGCTCTGTTTTGTTTTAAAGTTGCTGGAGTTTGGCTAGAATTTCTAATTAATGAGCTCCTTCCCTTCAAGACCATTATCTCTGAACCTTCAGGAAGTACAGAACTGAAGCCATGTTTGTTGTTTTAGGTAGTATATTGTCAGTGAGCAAAGAAGCTTTTCTTGCCCTGTGACATTGCCTGTTGGCTTAAAATCTGTGCTTTAGAAAAAATAAAAAATGCAACATAATATTCTACAAGGTTCTTCATAGTTTTGCATTTTAATTGCAGACTAAACATCTAAAATGGATATTATCAAAAAAATAAACTGACTTCCTTCATTCTGTGTTGCAGCCAGCTGTTTATAATCTTTCTGTTGAACTTTGAACCAGTATAATTTACCTGTGGACTATGATGCTTTGTTTTACAGAGGGTGGGGGCATGTTTTAACATTTATAGATTTTGAACAATACTTTGTTTTTCCCCCCTGTGGATCAACCATCATTTATTTGAGAAACCATTATTTTCTGTAGTGACAAACAACTGAAATTTGTTCCTCTGGTTCTCCTCTGAACTACCATAGAATCCTTAAGTTCAGCAAATGCCCAGGTGAAGGTTTTTGTAGGGATCTCATGGAACTGAGGTGTCCCACAGCCGTGGGACGGGTTTGGCCGGAGCTCAGGGCAGCCTGCTTCCTAGGTCGTTTCAGTTGGTCATGTAGATGCTCAGAACCCAAATCGCCCTGCTCCCAACTGGCTCATTCCACTCATCTGCCTAACCACGAGGGAGCAGTTTTGTTTTATGGAAATATTTCATACTTTATTTCACCAAAAACTTCTGAATAGTTCTTTTGCAGACAGAAATTTTTTAAAAGATTTGAAAGGCAACATTACAGAGAGAGAGATCTTCCTTGTGCTGGTTCATGCCCCCAACGTCCAGAGCTGGTCCAGGCCAAAGCCAGGAGCCTAGATCTTCTGGGTCTCCTCCATGGGTGCAGGGGACCAAGCAGTTGGCCATCTGCTACTGCTCTCCCAGCTGGATCAGAAGTGGAGCAAACCGGGACCTGAACCAACGCCCATTTGGGATGCTGGCACTGCAGGCAGCAGCTTAACCATTAGGCCACAATACCAGCCCCCAGGCAAAGAAATTGAAATACCTAAGAGTGATTTTTAAATGTTGGTAATCATTGCAACCCTTTGATCTTGTTATCTTCATCCTGGTTGTATTTTATTTATAGACTTAATTTAATAAAGTAATACTTTGATTTATAATATTGCATTGCAATAGATCATTTGAAGAGTTCTTTGGTTCTTTTCATGTACTTTATGACATTTCAACAAGGTTAATTTGAAAGTAGGTAGCATACAAGATGGTAATTTTTTTTTATTCAGTGGTAATCGAATTTTGCCATGTTTTCCTTCTCTACCAAATATTCTGTTTGTGGTTCTCAACCCTGGATGCATAATAAAATTTTGGGAGAGTTTTTGGCTGGTCCTAATTTGAGAAATTTCAGTTTAATTGGTCTTGGGTTGGACCTGGGAATTGGAATTTTTTGAGAGCTGCCCAGGTGATTCCATTGGATAGCGCAGAAGAGAACCACTGTGTTCAATCCTCCTCTCTCCCAGGAGATGGGTTTCCCATTTCTCTTACTCTGCCACCTTAAAATATTCCCATAAAGTAATTTTTCTGATTGACTGCTTTCAACTATGTCTTGTCAAATCCTCAGCCATCAGAAGCAGTGGGAAAGAGAGAACATGAGTACATTAAATTTTCACAGATAATGAGAAATTGTTTTAGTCAATGAGTTTAACCATCTTCACCGTACCTATATACCAGTATTGTCAGATTGACTAATCGGAATCGTTCCTACCTCTGATGTTGCATTTGTTTTTCATGTCCCATCATCCGGATGGTCAGTGAATCTGTTCCAGTACTGTGTGAGCACCTGCTGTAGGATGGCACTGTGAGGAAGCAGAGGTCGTGGTCTTATTGAGAGACTCACAGGCCTGACCCAGATTTTAAGACGTTAACGTAGATACACAGGGCATGGGCACAGGGCCTGTTACACAGTAAGTTATTCATGTGGCCTTTCCTCTGTTTCAGGTATCCAAACCATCGACTCTACCCAGGCTCTGTTCCTTCCAATTGGAGCATCTGTGTCTCTTCTAGTAATGTTCTTCTTCTTTGACTCAGTTCAAGTAGTTTTTACAATATGTACAGCAGGTAAATAAATGCATTTCTCCCTTTTTTTTTTTTTTTTTTTTTTTTTTGGACAGGCAGAGTTAGACAGTGAGTGAGAGAGAGAGAAAGAAAGGTCTTCCTTCCGTTGGTTCACCCTCCATTGGCCGCTACGGCCGCTGCGCTGCACTGATCTGAAACCAGGAGCCAGGTGTTTCTCCTGGTATTCAATGCGGGTGCAGGGCCCAAGCACTTGGGCCATCCTCCACTGCCTTCTCAGGCCACAGCAGAGAGCTGGACTGGAAGAGGAGCAACCAGGACAGAATCCGGCGCCCCGTCTGGGACTAGAACCCGGGGTGCCAGCACCACAGGCAGAGGATTAGCCAAGTGAGCTGTGGCACTGGCCACATTTCTCTATTTTTAATGCTAAAGGGAAAAAAATTCCACATGTTTAAACAGCATTGAATTAAATTGAATGAGAAAAATAACCTGTGCTTTCCCCTACTTCAAATCAGGCACTTTGTGTTTTTTGTTTTTAAATTAGGGTATCTGTGCAGTAGCAAATGATGGAATTTTCCCTCCCTGGTTAATTAAGTCAGTTGCATCCACCTGTAAAGAAAAGTATTTTGGGAAATGACTGCGTTTCTAGAAGTCATTCCATTTTCTTAAAACAGTTAATTATCTGTTTTCTTTCTCTAGTTCTTGCAACGATCGCTTTTGCTTTTCTTCTGCTCCCAATGTGCCAGTATTTAACAAGACCCTGCTCACCACAGAACAAGTAAGGACTTGAGACTTTCTTCTGAATCATGAACTTGGATATGTTTACCTCTCATGCTCGATGGCATCAGCAGGGGTCACAGTGTCTGGTGTTTACTGGAGCACACTAATGCGAGAAGCTGGAGAAGTGAGGGGTTTGATCTTTAGGAGCTACAGCTCCTCTGGGACCTTCTCGTGGCAGATGAACAGAAGCAGGTCGTAGGTCAGTCATTGATGCACTTCCTGCTTAGATGGCTGAAGGTTTTCTTTCGAGGCAGTGCTTCCGTTCCTTTACTGGCGAGTTGATGGACTATGAGAACAGTGGCTAAGTTCAAGCATGCTTCATCTAGTCTTTGCCTTTCATCTGTGGGACCTAGATATGCTGGCCACTTGCGTGTAACCCCGGGGTTTGTGCTGTAGCTTCTGAAGCCATTGCTCCATGGAAACAAAGAACTGCGCAGGGAAGATGCTGTGTGCGCTTAGGAATCCAGTCACTGGTGCAGCCAGACAGGCGTACATATTTATTCATCTTGGCTAAATGGATTGCGTTGTTGGCTTTTTTCATTGTTTTCCTTGTAAGAATAGATGTCTCCTATATCTAGCTTCTCGAGAAGATTCCAAATACCCACATTGATAATCTAATCTAGAAAGTATGATCAGATGGACACAGAAGTATAATTCCTCTGACCTCTCCACCCTTACGAAGGGCACTTGGAGCTTTTGGAGTTGCCAGTGTGTAGGCACTGCCTATATCCTAACCCAGACACCAGGAACTCCTATCGCAAGAACCGAAGGAGGGTTTGGTTGTAAATGTGCCATCAGTCCGGTTAACATCCTGTGTTTCGCAGGATTTCCTTCGGTTGCTGTGGGCGTTTCACTGCTGCTGAGCTGCTGTCGTTTTCCCTGTCCGTCATGCTCGTCCTCATCTGGGTCCTCACTGGCCATTGGCTTCTCATGGATGGTGAGTAACCAATATGAGACAAATTGTCATTTTACCTAATATCGTTTTACAGGTACAGTTTTTGAGCATTTTTGTCACCTGCCCCTACCTGCTGCTGGCCCTGCCAATCCATACCTTCTAGCAGTTACTTTTGGTCTTTGTGTTGTGATATCTCTGTTCTGGGTAGTTCACAAAAGTAGACTCATACATCATGTGACTCCTCATGTCTGGCTTCTTCACATAGCACAGTGTTTTCAAGGATTGTGTGTAACCCATAGTGGTTCCTTTTTATGGTTGGATTTTATTCCATTATATGGATATACCAGTTTTTATTTTATTCAGTGGGTATTTCCACTTTTTTTTTTACTATCACAAATAATGTATCTATCTGTGAATATTTTTCTTTAAGATTTATTTATTTATTTGAAAGAGTGATAGGGAGAGACAGACAAAGAGATCATCCATCTGCTGGTTCGCTCCCCAAATGGCCGCAACGGCCAGGGCTGGGCCAAGCCAAAGCCAGGAGTCAAGAGCTTCATTCGGGTCTCCCACATGGGTTCAGGGCCCAAGCACTTGCACCAACTTCTGCTACTTCACCATGCTATCAGTAGGGAGCTGGATCAGAAGTGGAGCAGCCGGGACTTGAACCAGTGGCCATATAGGATGCCAGCACTGCAGGTGGAGGCTTTCCCCTCTGTGCCACAGTGCCAGCCCTGCAGACTATACTTTATACTTTTTTTTTTTTTTTTAACTTGGAAGAGTTACAGAGAGAGAGGAGGAACAGCGGAGAAAGAGAGAGGTCTTCCATCTGCTGGTTCACTCTCCAATTGGCCACTACAGCCGGTACCTGTGCTGATCCGAAGCCAGGAGCCAGGTGCTTCCTCCTGGTCTCCCCTGTGGGTGCAGGACCTAAGCACTTGGGCCATCCTCCACTGCACTCCTGGGCCACAGCAGAGAGCTGGCCTGGAAGAGGGGCAGCTGGGACAGAATCCGGCACCCCGACTGGGACTAGAACCCATGTGCTGGTGCCGCAGGCGGAGGATTAGCCTAGTGAGCCACAGTGCCGGCCCTATACTTTCTTATTTACATGGATTTATACTAATGCCTCCTAATATTATGGAGTATATGTTATATAACATATGTGTTATATGTGATATATAATTGCTCCTTTTATGCAATAATATAAATACATGTCTGTATCATTACATAAAGGTATTTACAGCTCCACAATATTCCCTTGTATTAATGTCATTTAACTATTGATGTATCCTTAGATTTTTTAAATCTTTTTCTACTATAAATAAGGCTGATATAAAAATTTAGTTTCTACCTCTCAGTATTATATGTCAGAGTACTTAACTGACTTTTTTAATATCTGCTTTTTTTTTAAGATTTTTTTATTTATTTACTTGAGAGGTAGAGTTACAGTGAGAGGGAAAGACAGAAAGGTCTTCTGTCAGTTGGTTCACTCCCCAAATGGCTGCAATGGCTGGATCCGAAGCCAGGAGCCAGGTGCTTCTTCCCAGTCTCCCATGTGGGTGCAGGGGCCCAAGGAGTTGGGTCATCTTCTACTGCTTTCCCAGGCCTTAGCTCCGGAAGAGGAGCAACCGGGACTAGAACCAGCGCCCATATGGGATGCTGGTGCCACAGGCAGAGGATTACCCTACTGCGCCATGGCAACGGCCCCAACTGACATGGTTTTTTATTTGAAAGGCAGACCTAGATGATAGTCTGCTGATTCCCTCCCCAGTTGCCTGCAATAGCCAGAGCTGGGCCAGGCTGAAGCCAGGAGCTCCCTGTTTGAGCCATCACCTGCTGCCTCTGCCTCCCAGGGTGCACATTAGCAGGAAGGCGGACCCCAGAAGCAGAGGTGGGATCTGAATAGGGATGTAGGGATCCCAGGTGTTGTCTTAAACACTATACTAAATATCCACCCTGCTAAGATAATTTTCAAAGGAAGAATTCCTGAACATGAAATTCCAAAAACAAGGGGCTTTTGTATTTGAATTTTCCATATATATTACTATACTGTCTTTCAGAAAAGATATAAGTTAGCTGGCGCCATGGCTCACTAGGCTGACCCTCTGCCTGCGGCGCCAGATTCTGTCCCGGTTGCCCCTCTTCCAGGCCAGCTCTCTGCTGTGGCCCGGGAGTGCAGTGAAGGATGGCCCAAGTGCTTGGGCCCTGCACCCACATGGGAGACCAGGAGGAAGCACCTGGCTCCTGGCTTCAAATCGGCGCAGCGCCGACCATGGCGGCCATTAGGGGAGTGAGTCAACGGAAGGAAGACCTTTTTCTCTGTCTCTCTCTCTCACTGTCTAACTCTGCTTGTCAAAAGAAAAGAAAACAGAAAAGATATATGTTCCTACCTATAGTATATGAGACTTCCCTCCATTGATGATAATAGCAAAGATTTATGAGTGCTTTTCATGTATTGGGCACTCTGCTGGCTGCTTGAGTGAGTGATTCTCTCATTTATCCTTAGAATAGTTCTTTGAAGTAGGTACCATTATTGTTCCCATTTCCAGACAAGTACACAGAGGTTCAGAGAAGAACCCACTCAAATTGAGAGCTCCTGTGTATGTTTGTTTCATCCTTAGGATAGAAACATCCTGGAGGGAAACTGCTAAAAATCCCATATTACAATTTTAATATCTCCCTGAGACAACAGAATACTTTTTTTCATTTAAAAACCTGTAGGGGCCAGCACTGTGGGGTAGTGGGTAAAGCCACCATCAGTATTCCATATGGGCTGTAGCTCAAGTCCCAGCTGTTCCACTTCCAATCCAGCTTTCTGCTATGGCCTGGGAAAGCAGTAGAAGATGGCCCAAATCCTCAGGTCCCTGCACCTGCTTGGAAGACCTGGAAAAAGCTCCTGGCTTTGGATCAGCCCAGCTCCGGTTATTGCAGCCATTGTGGGAGTGAACCAGTGAATGGAAGACCTTTCTATCTATAACTCTACTCTCAGAATAAAATAAAATAAAAAAAAAAAAAAAAAAAAAAACGATGACAACGATGACCCTGTAACCTCTCCCCACCTCCTTTTTCTTCTTAAGGTTTATTTATTTGAAAGGTAGAGTTACAGAGAGAGGGGGAGAGATAGAAATCTGCTGGTTCACTCCCAATGAGCACAGCAGCCAGGACGAGGCCAGACCAAGCCAGGAGCTTCTTACAAATCTCCCACGTCGGTGCAGGGGCCCAAGGCCTTGGGCCATTCTCTGCTGCTTTCCCAGACGCGTTAGCAGGGAGCTGGATGAGAAGCGGAGCAGCTAGGTCTTGAACCTGCACCTGTATGGGATGCTGGCATAGCATGCTGCCACTTTACCCACTACACCACAGCTCCAGCCCCACTACCTCCTTTTTCATCGTCCGTACTTGTTTGCACAGTTTGCTTTTCTAACCTCAGGAAACTTCTAGCAGATTGCTCTGCCACACAAAATCTGTTCACCTTCTTCTTTGTTTTGGTGTCATAAAAGAGAAAGAGGTTAAAAGATAAAAGGCAGTTATTTTGTACTATCTGTAATACTGTCTGAAAAACTCTGAAGGGGTGGGCACTTGGCGCAGCAGCCGAGATGCAACTCGGGATGCCCAGGTTCCCTGTCAGTACTGGAGTTCCAGCCCAGGCCCTGCCTCTGCCTCCCACTCACTCAGAAGCTGCCAAGACACTCCCAGGTGGCTTTACTCAGCTGTGTAACTTTCTGTTTTTCTAAAGATTTATTTGAATGGAAAGTGACAGAAAGAGAAAGGGGGCCAGCACTGTGGCATAGGAGGTTAAGCCTCTGCCTATGGAGCCAAAGAAAAGAAAAGCCTAAGGAGGGGGTGAATGTTTGCTCAGTGATTAAGATCCTGCTTGGGATGCCCACATCCCATTCACAGTGCCTGGGTTCCAGCCCTGGCTGGCTTCCAGTGCCAGCTTCCTGCAGATGTGCACCCTGGAGGTAGCAGGTAGCAGGTCAGGGCTCAGGTATTTGGGTCCCTGCCACCCACAGAGAAGGCCTGGGTTGAATCCAGGGCTCCTAGCTTTGGCCTGGCCCAAACCCTGGCTGTTGAGGGCATTTGGGGAGTGAGCCATCAGGTGGGACATATCTCTTGCCTAGTTATGTGTCTGTCTTTTAAACAAAACAAATTTAAAAAAAAAAAAAAAGGCCGGCGCCGTGGCTCACTAGGCTAATCCTCTGCCTTGCGGCGCCGGCACACCGGGTTCTAGTCCCAGTCGGGGTGCCGGATTCTATCCCGGTTGCCCTTCTTCCAGGCCAGCTCTCTGCTGTGGCCAGGGAGTGCAGTGGAGGATGGCCCAAGTCCTTGGGCCCTGCACCCCATGGGAGACCAGGATAAGTACCTGGCTCCTGGCTTCGGATCAGCGTGGTGCGCCGGCCGCAGCGGCCATTGGAGGGTGAACCAACGGCAAAGGAAGACCTTTCTCTGTTTCTCTCTCTCACTGTCCACTCTGCCTGTCAAAAAAAAAAAAACAACACCCTGTGAGGAGGAGGTATAACTTTAAAGTGTTGCTTAAATGAGAGAGTGAGGATAACAAGAGGTAAGTTAGGCAAAAGGGGAAGATGTTCAGGGAGACGGTGTGGCGCATGGCAGAAATCAGCCCCACACAGCACACTTCACTAGGAACCTTCTCTGAGGTCGTCCAGAGGTCGTTCTGCTCCACACACGAAATCCACACATGAAATGTAGAGCACAGTGGGAAGAGGAAGGCAGTATGAGTGCAGGCGGGGACGTTGCTCAACTTAGTGTTGACAGGAAGAAGGAATAGGAGCCAGAGGAGAGGGGCTCTGAGGCAGAGTCCCCACCTGGGACAGCTGCATTCTCTACACGTTGCACCCTAAGGTTGGACAGCTTCGTGATTAGACCTGCTCCATCACAGAGCAGGGAACCTAAGACCTTAAGGCAGGAAGTGGCATCCACAGATCTTGACTGGGGATACATTGTGGTAGGCAGTGTGGGGAAGGCCTGACTGAGGTCTGGGGTAACGATAAAGGGCGGCACTCCCAGAATGGCCAAGGATTGCACCTACGAGGTGAGAGATTGAGATTTAAAGTGAACCCAGAGTTTCTCGCTTGGAAGATTAGGATGGGAGGACATGACGTGGAGTCATGGAAAACCATCCCCGGGCAGCTGACTCTGTGTGTATTTCAGATCCAAGTGAGGCAGGGGCAGGAGGAGGTGAGTGCTGGGGCAGCAGCTGACACCCAGACCATGTGACTTGCAGAGGCCCCTCGAGTTCAGCAGTGATTCTGTGGTATGCTGAGTAGGAAGGTGTAGGAATCGGCAAGCCGTCCTGTCCCTAGAAGTCTGTTCCCTGCCCTCGCTGGTTATCTTTTGAGTCTCCTTGGTCCTCTGACCCTCCCAGCCCTCCTCCCACTCCTGTGCTCCTTGGGCCTTTCTTTCCTCCTTTTTTCCCTCAGCACTGACAATCAGGTGTCACCTGCTCCCACCATTGTCCCCCAGCCAGCTGCTGTCCTGTTTTGTGATTTACCGCAGGGACAAACATTGGTTTCCTCAAGGTAGTGAACCTTAGAAGGCCCTGGCTATCAAGAACACGTGGTGAAGCCCTGACCACGGCACAGATGCCTCACGACGCCCTTGGAATTGCAGAGCCCAGCCGACTGGCGCTGGTCGGTGCAGTTCACCAGGCTCGTGCCAGGCGTGCTCAGTTTGTGTACAGGCTGCCACTTTGGTTTTGTTCTTAAGGCTATAGCATAGTGAACATCCTAGATTCATATAAAGTCAGGAATTTTGTCAAGACCAAATCTCCAAAATGCACACTTCAGTACGTGGTACAGAGCTCAGTGATGCTTGGCATCAGGAATGATAGGGAGACTAATTTGTTCTTCCTGGTTTTGTCGCCATCTTTCAGTCCTTCCGTGTTGTAGGAATGGGGATGCTCTTCCTGCCTCACTTGTGCAGCACCAGACACATAGTAGGAGCTCCTAAAATACCAGCTGATGTGTCCAGAGTCCTCCAAGCAGCTGTATTTAAACCCCTTTGAAGCATACCTTGACAGTTTATCACCAGTTCTATTGACATGGTATGCATCTGATCACACAGCTCTTCTTATTTTCCTTAGAATAGTTTGCATTGTGGCCAGCGCCGTGGCTCACTAGGCTAATCCTCCGCCTTGCGGCGCCGGCACACCGGGTTCTAGTCCCGGTCGGGGCGCCGGATTCTGTCCCGGTTGCCCCTCTTCCAGGCCAGCTCTCTGCTGTGGCCAGGGAGTGCAGTGGAGGATGGCCCAAGTGCTTGGGCCCTGCACCCCATGGGAGACCAGGAAAAGCACCTGGCTCCTGGCTCCTGCCATCGGATCAGCGCGGTGCGCTGGCCGCAGCGGCCATTGGAGGGTGAACCAACGGCAAAGGAAGACCTTTCTCTCTGTCTCTCTCTCTCACTGTCCACTCTGCCTGTCAAAAAAAAAAGAAAAAAAAAAAAGAATAGTTTGCATTGTGAAGTTAATGGACTATAATTTTGTATTCACTCAGCAAAAGATTTGTTGAGCGTCTGCTCTGTCAAGAGCTAGGGATTCACAGACAGAGTAAGGCGTGCCTCCTGTCTGCCAGGAGCACGTAGTCGCATGCTGGAGAGTTTAAGCTCATTCTTGCGTACAGATGATCCCACGATCAGAGTGGGCAGATGAGCACAGAGATTCAAAATGCTGTGCAGTCACGAAGGAAACCAGGCACTCTGGCTGGGGCAGGAAAGCTCTTCCAGAAAGCGCTTTCGGCCCTGGCTCTTTGAAGATGAATGTTCCAGATGCAGGTGGGCCAGCAGGGCCTCCTGGACAGGCACGCACACGCAGGGTTTAGTGAGTGGGTGGTCACGTGGGGTGTCAGAGAATGGAGCCACAGGAAGCGGGTGTTGAGCCCCTCCTCTGTAGTCTGCCAGTACCCGGTCCATCCCAGTGTGTAGGAGCAGCTCTGTAAGGGAGGTCCCTTCTTTGGCCAGGGGCAACTTTAGCAACTTCCGTTGTAGTTGAAGGAAGAATTCAAAAAAGAAAAATGACCCATGTATTTCATATGTTATAAGTACAGGAAAAAAAATAAGGCAGGAGTTGGAATACGCTTTTAAATACAATTTCCAGGAAAGTCCAGTTGTCATTCAGCATTTAACACTTGGGGGAAAAGAAACCTTAACAGATGGAGTACGGGAGGTAGATTTTGTGATTATGATCATTCCAGGCAGAGGGTACAGTCTGCAAAAGCACTGAAACGGGATGTGGCCGGCAGTTAGGAGGAAGAACAAGAAAGCCCGTGTCCCCAGCTCAGGGGTGGTGACAGACAGGAGGACCTTGTAGACCAGGGTAGACTGGCTGGCCACTCTGTGACATGGGAAGGTGAAGGGTTTTGAGCAGGGACCACTGTAACACAGCTTTGGCTTTGAGAAGATCTTGTGTCTACTGTGTAGAGGAGAGGCACAGCCAGGGCAGAGAGCCCGTGCAGGTAACTGCAGCTTCCACACAGGAGACGGTAGACGCATGTGCCAGGCTGGGTGAGAGAGGGGAGTCAGAAATACCACTGAGTTCCACTGGAACAATAGAATAAATTAACAGAGATGGAAGACTGCAGCGGGAACCAGCTTAGAGGAAAGTTTGTAATAAAT